CGGCTCTGGCTGGTGCCAAACTAAGGAGAGTACAACGGGTAAGGAGGTGGCACCGGGACTCTCCCAGGGGCTCTTCTCTGCTGTGGGAAAGCCTAGTGCAACTTCGTGTAATGGTCTGCAGATCCAGTGTGAAACATGGTGAAACACACTTCAGCTGCCCCCCCTTAGGTGAACTTCTAAATGTGAATTTCTAGTGCAAATAAAGCTGAGCAAGAGATGTTTGGTGGAATTTCTTCTCCTCAGGAAATGTTAATTGTCAAATCACTGCAAGTTCTCAGTTTGCCAGGATTTCTAATGCCACCATTGCACTATCTGTTAGTGTTTTCAGTCATAAGTAGTTAAAACTGCATCATGATTACCAAAACCAGTGTAGACTGCTGAGGCCGCACGTCAATAGGTGTCCACTTAGGTAAAGGTTGCATAACTGTGCATAAACACAATAATGAACAAAGAGCACTCTGGAGTTTTTCATCATTTGCTCTTATATTTGTCTCACTCAGACAGCTCCTAGTCTTAGTAAGGTCTTCACTCCAAGGCAGAGCACATCCTATCTCTGGTTTTGGGCTGTGATGGTGATCAATTTTCCTAATAATTAGGAAAACTACTCATTAAGGGTGTGGTTGTAAATGAAACTTTTCATTAAGTCCAGTGGTACTTTTCATTAATTCCAATGCTGATTTCTGTCTTAAGCCAGAAGATGGTTCAGGAGGGTCCAGCCCCAGTGGAGTCTCTAAGAGTGATGCCAATCGAACAAGTAGTGGAGGAGGCGGAGGAGGACTAATGGAAGAAATGAATAAATTGCTGGCAAAAAGGTTTGTATTTAGACTTCAAGTAAGCACTAGCCTGAGCTCCGCAGCAAATTGTGGAACAAGATGCTGTCAGTTTTGGCTAGCAATGGGTCACTTTGGTGCTTCTTTGCAATTTGATTGGTCCTACATAGGTGCTAGTCACCAGCATTGCCTGGTGAAACTGTGTGTGTATATATATATATATATATACACATCTATATATATGAAACTGTAGGTGTTGCAGCAACGATACCTGGCAGAGTTTAGCTGCTGTACCAAATCCTGCAGTGTGGTAGCCTTCAGAGATGGTGACTAATATATCCTCTGGACTTCTGCCGTTTTACCAGATCTATTTCAAAGTTACTGTATTCAGATAGAGTAAATTATGAAAGGAACTTAAATTATTCTTTATGCAGCACATTCAGGATGTTGAACCTAAAAACATGAAGAGAAGTACAATAAAAGGGCAACATGTTTGCAGGTGAATTATTATTGATTCTCAGTGCATTTCAGACAGGCTAGCCAAGGTATTCTCAGCTGAAGTGAGTCATGATATATCGAGCTACCAGCTGTTAAGACACTCAGTTATTCCAATTATTTTTTCTTTCTGTTTTCCCTCAATTCCATCAATAATGTTCTGTCAGACTCCCAAGCTCCTAGTATTAGATGTTTTATTTTTAGCTCTATTTTTTTGAAACATATGAATAATGAAAGAAAAGAATAAGTAATAGATATACTATATA